TCCCCTCAGGGGATCTCAGATTGTACCGATAACATCCACAGTCACACATGCCAGGTGGTTTGTACGTCCTGTTTGAAGTGATTTACGTTCACTGATTGACTTAATCCTTACAACTCTATGATGTAGTCCTACTGTTATCCCCATTTTACAGATGAGGAAACTGAGGCACCGTGAATCTCAGTCTCAGACCTTGTGTGGGGAAGAGCTGGAGGTTGGTTTTGGACAGTCCAGCCGCAGAGCCCGAGCTGCCTCACCTATTATTCCCAAATGTTCTCTCTAGTCCTCCCTACAAGTCCCCGTGGTACTTATTTTCTCCATTACAGGGCAGGAAACTGAGGCTCCACATGATTAAGGGTTTCTTCAAGGTCACACAGCTGGTCAGCACTTGCAAAGCCCAGAGCCTTTCTCATGCACCTACTGCTTGAGTCCACCTTCAGGCCTGGGAAGGAACACTGGACTCAGGAAACAGAATGCTGAGAGGCCGATAAGCAGATGTTTGAGGTTAGAAAAAAAAATCAAAACCCCTGGAGTGGGGGCTGGTGAGACCACAAGCTGTGGTCCTGCATTTAATGAACCTGCCAGTAAGTCAGCCCCGCTGTGCACAGAGATGTGGGTTGCAGTGTGCCCAGGAGGGGTCAGACGTGTCCCACCCAGGAAATTGTCATCGCCAAAGAATGGACAGATCGGAGCCCGTGCCTTGATACCTGGATGCAGTGTCCTTTCCAAAGAATGTTAGAGGAGGCACCCTCTCTGTGCCCTGGAGTCACACCCAGCACATTTGGGGATCATCTATCCCCTGGGGGTCTGGCAGGAAGAGGAGCTCCAGGAATAACCACTGGAGTCTTTGCCCCAAGCTTTAAATTTAGAGAAGAGGGTCGACAGCACCTGGGAAGCGGGCAGCCAACACCTTTGGCTGAACAACAGCTAGCACCAGATTCACACATGATGATGAATGGATGGACGTCATCTCTAGAAGCTCCAAAGGTGGCTCTCTGGCAACATCTGGACCCCTGAGTTCTCTTATTAGGCACACTCTCCAGTGTGCTTACCTAGGCTGTGCACACAGTTCCCTGTCAGGAGGCAGCCCCGACGCCAGCTGAGGCAGCAGAGGGGGAACAGAATGGGGTGGACCCAATGTCCCAAGATGTGAGTGAGGGGAGCCCCCAGGACGGGGTGGCTGGGGGATAAATAAAATGTGACATCGACCTAAGATGGGCTTGTAAGCAGCCACTTACAACCACGTTTTGGACGACTATTTGATGACAAAGAAAAGTCTATGAGATCGTTTCCCTTATCACACACATAGTCACATGACGAGAGGCGTACATACCAACGTGTTAACCATGGTCATTTCTGAGCAGTGCAGTTAACAACGATATTTGTTTTTCATGCACTTCTTTTTTTTCTGACTTCTTTCACAACCACCACATGTTTCTGACGTAAGAATGAATGTAAAGAGAAGGTAACACCTAAAATGAACGTGACCTTAGGAGACAGACAAATCTGGGTCTAAACGCAAGCTCCACAATGCTCCAGACAGATGCTCTTGGACATAACTTGCCGCTCAGAGCCTAACTCTCCTCATCTGTAAAATGTGGCGGGTGAAAGGAGATTGTCACACAGAGTTCCTGATTCCGGCTGTCAGCTGTTGTTTATTTTATTCTACTTGTCCAGCTGTTCTTTAAACGGCAGGCACTCTGCTCCTCATGGAAGTGTCCTCTGCCCCAGGAGAGGCTCCGTCTGGCACCATGGCCTGTGGAGGGGGAGACTTGCCTCCAGTTCCTCTCTGCTGAGGCTGGAGCTGGAGAGGAGGGTTGCACCAGGAACCCAAAACTTGTGAAACCCCTGTTGCTTGCTTCCTCATTTAAAAGAGCAATTGGTCCCATCTGAGGAAGAAGTTGCAGCAAGGGGCTCTTGGGGCAGAAAGAGGCGGCTGTGCACACAGCTGCGCTTCTCTCTCTCTAGATCCAAGTGTTTCCTGCACTTGCTGAGGAATCCAGACATCTTTTTCCTTTTTTGAAGTTTTTAACACAATTTTTTATCTTTTTTAATCCAATGATACTTTTCTAAAAACATGGTAATCCTGATTTAAATTCAAAGTATTTAAATGTACCACAATGATTTTTCAATATCCCATTCTATTTCTCCAAGTAAAACTCAAGGAAAATATATTGATCTTGTCTATACCATTAAAATTAAGGCAATTTTCCAGACATCTTTTTTAGTATCGGCTTTATGGAGATACAGTCACATACAAGTCACCCATTTGAAGTGTATACAATTCAATGGCTTTTAGTATATTCAGAGGTGTACAATCACTATCAATTTTAGAAAATTTTCATCACACTAAAAAGAACCCCTTACCCATTAGCACTCACTACCACCTTGCCCAGCTCTAGGCAATCACTAATCTACTTTCTGCTTCTAGAGAGTTTCCTCATCTGGACATTTCATATAAATGGAATGACACTGTATGCAGTCTCTAGCGACTGGCATCTTTCACTTAGCATACTGTTTTCAAGGTTCATCCACGTCGTAGCATGTGTCAATGCCTCATTCCTTTTCATTGCCAAATAATATGCCATTGTATAAATATTCTACATTTGATTTATCCATTCACCAGTTGATGGGCATTAGGCATCCTTTTTGACTTAATATGTTAACTGCAATCATAGCTATCATCTGTTGAGTACCTACCATGTGCTAGGCACTTGACCTAATTTCTCACCCTTGCAACAGTCCAGAGGGTAGGTCTATTTCTCCCTTTATACTGATAAAGAAACTGACATGTAGAGGTGAAGTGGCCCATCCAAGGTCACAGTAGTGACAGAGCCGGGATGAAAAAAGGATTGGCCTGGCCCCCTAGTCCATGTTCTTCCCACTGCCCCATCCCACCCCCATGTGCTCTGCTCTCTCCCTCCAGTTGGCACTGAGGCCAGAACAAGAAAGAATTCACTCATTCAGTGATCATTCATTCAACGAGCCGTAACCAGCACCACATGGACAGCAAGCATGCATTAGTCACTGAGCCAGGTAAGACCCATATGCCGCCTCCTGGAGTTGGCTGTCCAGGTGAGGAGAGGTCATCATGCAAGGAGGCAGGTGCCAGTCACCAAAAAGGGTGTGACCAAGTGCCAAGAACTGAGAGCTGTTGGAGAGCCCAAGGAAAGATTTTTAGAGAAGATGGCATTTTGAACAGGACCCCAGTAGACCAGGCAAATTTCCCCAGCAGAGATGGGAGGAGCCACCACGCAGAGGAACTGGTGTGCTCACAGACGCCGAGACCAGGAACCTTGGTCCACAAGAAGGAATTCTGTCCTCCTGGAGGTGGGAAGTGAAGGGAGTGAGGAAGGTAGGGGAGTGGTTGGAATCACATTGCTGAGAGCTGTGAGTGCCAGGCTGGAGTCGGAGCTTTGCCCCATGGACAGCAGGAAGCCGTGGAAAGTTTTGGAGCAAGACAAGATGAAAGCCATTCATGAGCACTCTGATGTCCCCAGGCCCCTGGAAATTACCCTTCCAGCTGTTCACAGAAGAGCTGTGTTTCAGCCCTTTGTGTATCTCTGTGTCCCCAGCCCCTAGGACAGTGCCTGATGCATTGTAGAGGCTCCGTAAACATTTGTTGATTGACAGACTGATTGGATGAATGAATCTGCCTGCCAGCCCCCTCCCCCTCACTGTCCTCTCCTGGCTCCTCTCCGGGCTAAGTGGAAGAAAACACCTGGTGTATTCCAGATTGTCCCATCTCACCCACCTACAATCTCTCTCCCTCCAGGTCCCTCCCCTTCTCCCTCCTTGCTACCCCTTTCCTTTCTGGTGATGAGTAAATGAAGGAACAAATGTGCACATGCTCCCACCATGGGCTAGGCAGTAGCAATTACCTTAAATTCTCACTGTCGCCCTCAGGGATAGAAATGATTCATTGCTTTTTGCAGGTGAGGAAGTTGTGATCCAGAATGGTTAAGGGACTTGCCCAGATGCTGGGTGACAGAACTGAGACTCACCCGGGGCCCTTCTGATTCCATCTAGTGCTTCCAGCTGGGGGTGGGGAGTATTGTGGTGGGAGTAGGATGGGGTACAGAGGAAGAGGAGGCAAAGGAAGGGACTCCTGGGAAGGGGTGAGGGTGCAGGGGTGGAGGGGCTTCTCAAGCCCATCCTAGAACCAGGTAGCTGGATACCAATCTGAAGGCTCCTACCCCTCTCTGGGTCCAGCTGCCACATCAGGTTGCTGAAGCCAGATTCCTCGACTCCACTCCTGTGTCCACTCCCCAGTAAGCTGGGGTATGAGGCAGGAACACACACAAAAACACACAACATCCCCAAAGCTGAAGTGGTGAAACAGTAGTTGCCTTAAGCAGAAAGAAATGATTGTTCTGCAAAATTATTCACCCAAGAACATTTTTATATAATTCCCAAAGTCAATCATCATCTACTTTCTTGTTGAGGAAAACATCCCTAAGAGGCTTTGTCAGAAATCCGTCAGTCGAGCAGGCCAGCTGGTGCCCAAGGCTATCTGGGTGGCCTGATTCTCTGCCACTCCTCTTAAAACCTTCTAGAATGTTAGCTTCAGAAAGACCTCCAGCTGCATAATCCTCTCATTTTACAGATGGGAAAACTGATGCTCAGCCCAGAGGAGGGTCTGCTCAAGGGCCTCGAGCATCAGTAGCAGAGCTGGATCTCAGGTCCAGGGGCCTCCCCACCCGACCCCGTCACTCCTCTTTCTCCCAAGGCTCTCTAACCAAGCCTTTGTCGCTGCCACTCTCTAACCAAGGCTGTGCCTTTGAGGGAGAGCTGGGCACCACCTCCAAATGCCAGGGGGCATAGCTGAGGCCATGACAACCTCACCCTTCACCTGGGAATTTACCTGGCGGTACAGGGCCCAGGCACACATGGGCTTCAGGGCCAAAGAGGCCTAGAGAAGCAGGTGACACATCTCCTCTCCCAGCACGGCACCTCCCTTCGGGTCAAGGGTCTGCCAAGGACATGTGCGTCCTGCTCTGGGACTAAGGAGAACTTCCACAAGATTTTGCTTTGGGTCTGTATGGTATCAATCAGCTTGGCATTGAAATTCTTTTCCTGCCTATCAGAAGTCTCAGCCAGCAGTTACGTGTCTTCTTTTTTTTTGAGAAAAAGGAATGTCTGCTTAATACAAGAAGCCTGATGAGCAAAGACTTTCTGGATACGAGGTCCTCAAAGGTAGAGGAAGATTAGCAAAAGCATCTGCAGAGCTGAAAAGAGAGGGCTCCCGAACTAAGCAATTGCAGGGGAGCCTTCCTTCCGCTGGCACTCTCGGTACACCAGGAAGGGGTGCATGAACGTCAGAAGACTGACGAGCACCAGCATCACGTTCACCTGGAGAGGGACAGGAAGGAGGGAGGTGAAGTCCAGGAACTCTGAGCAATGCCCACGACCAATGAGGGGACCAGAATTCTGCCTAGTTTATCTTCCACTTTCCACTCAGACACTCTGGTGCCCTGGAGGAAGGACTCTGCGTTACTTTTCATTCTGCCCTGTGGAGCCAGGTGGGGAGGGATATTGTGCCCATTTCATGGATGAAGAAAGAGAGGCCCAGGTGGCATTCAGTGACCAGCTCAGGGTCACACAGGAAGCTGACGGAGGGACCAGAGCGTTCACCAGGTAGAGAACAGAGGCAGAGGGAGAGCTGATACGAAGGCTCAAGTACATTATATCTTCCGAATACTCAGTTAGGGTGCTCCAATATCACAATAAAGTAATTCTCCTCAGTCTTTCAGTTCAGGGCTTTTTTTTTTTTTCTCCCAATGACTGATTTAAACTCCTGTTCTACACTTTGCTCATCTTTTTAAAATGAGGCTAAAGGGCTGTGCAGTGGTCAGAACACTGAATTCAAAGTCAAAGGACTTCTGCTCCTTTGCTGTGGGCTTCTGAACATAGAAGTCACACAACCCAAATCTTTGAGCCTCTGTTTCTTCTATCTCAAACAGCTGGAGAGTCACACCCACCTCCCAGGGCTGGGGGGGTGAGCATCCCTGGTGGTGTGGGGATGCAGGGGTGAGAGCACAGAGCTCCTGCCACTCAGATCAGCTGTGGAATCCAATGCACATTGCATCCCTAAGGCCGAGGCGAAGGTCTGCCTGTGCTCATCACAAGCAGGAAATATCTTTGAAGTCTTAGGTTTTCATGAATCATTGTGAGGATTTTGCGTTCTCCTCCAGAATATGATTACTTGTCTCCACACACATAAAAAAATATTTTCTCCCCAAATCTCTGAAGAACATGGGCCCCCTGGGCAGCCACCCCATGATAGCCCTGTGGTTTCAGGTACCCACAGCACAAGGCAGGGTTCTCCCACTGAGCCCAGTTTGAGAAGCAAGACCAAGGATGTACCCGTGTGCAGCAATGTTCCTGCAGGAAATACCTCAGCCAGATTTGGGGCGCCCTCTGCTGGGTGCCCATTGAGTCACCCCGATCTGGATGTCCTTGGTGGTCTGAGGCCCACAATACTCACGTAGAACGGGTCATTCTGGAGGGGGCCCTTGATGAAGGTGAAGATGGGGAACTGGAGCAGAGACACAATGGCTGACAAGGCCATCACTAGCCCAAAGATCTTCCCAAAGTGCTCCGGAGGGAAACTGGGAGAGAGACAAATGGGGTTCCAGTGAGACTCAGGGACCCTCCCTCCAGGCAGGGCCTGATCTGGGTGGGCCTTTGTCAGCTACTTGTTCACAACTCCCCTGTCCTCAGCCTGCCTTCACCCACCCACACCACACAGCCCTCTCCCCTTTGCCTTTGGTCAGGCTTTCAAACCACAGAACACAGAGAAGTTATTGTGCTTGACAGTGGGAAAACAGCAGGGACCCAGACACACGCTGCACCCCAGGGAAGTTGCAAGAAAAAGATGAACACAAAAACACATCACTATATGCCAGATGATGTGTGCACCATCAAAGGCAGCAAGAATAGAGTGTCCAGAGCACAAATAAGGGAAAACACTTTCTTTCCAACTCTTCCCTGGGAGTGTTGGAACAGAAGTGGGCCTCGGAGGGTGAATAAGCGTTCACCAGGTAGAGAACAGAGGCAGAGGGAGAGCTGATACGAAGGCTCAAGTACATGAAAGCTCTACTCCTCCGGCCAGCCTCACCTCCAGGCACCACCCTCTACACCTGCTCCCAGACCCTGTCACCATCACCTGACCATCTCAGGCCCATCCTCACCTCCCAATTTCTGTACCTCCAGCACACTTCCCTTTGCCCCGTGTGTCCCCCATTATGTAACACATCTCAAGCCCACTTATGCAAGGGTCAGGAAGGCAGCATTGCCCCCATAGAGGAAGGAGCGGCTGATCACTTGCAGGATGAAGGTGACGTACTGGAGGGGGAGGACAGGGACTGAGGCACAGAGGGCGAAGCCCAGGCACAGCAGAGACGTCAGGGCCAGACAAGGAACCGTGGAGCAAAGGGCCACCGCCGAGGCTGAGAAACCTGGTCCAAAAGGGAAGAGGAGAGGCTGCCTGCAAGCGGGCGCAATGGAGGGCAGGAAGGAGGCAAGAGAGATCTGGGTAAAGGGAGGAGCCACCATCCATCTAACTTTCCAGGCAGAAACCCAGGGGGTCATCCTCGAATCCTCTTTCTCCCACATGCCCCATCTCCAGTCCATCAATGAATGTTGATGATCCACCTCCCAATTATCATTCAAATGTATCCACTCTTCTCCATCCCCACCAACTCATCCTCATCACCATCACTCACTCACAAATTACACAGATTGCAATGGCCTCCTAAGAGGGCCACCTGCTCTGGCCCCTGCAAGCTGTAGCCAGGCAGTCTGTGTAGCATGACAGGTACTAACAAAAGACAGGGGCGATCCAAACAGCCATCCGGAGGGACAGCTGTCTTGGCTGTCCTGCAGCCCCGTCACGGACAACTAGGCAGCGTGAGAGGAGTGAGGAGAAGGCCCTGCTGGGGAGCATCTTCTGGACAGAGAGTCACACAGCAGGAAGACTGCAGAACAGGGCGTGCAGTATGTGGCCTTTATCCGAGAGCGAAATTATGTCTATGTAGTCTGTCTTTAAGAAAAAAATCATTGCCTGAAGATAGAGGGAACGAATAGGGTGCAGGGAACAGAGAGGAAAACTAAGCTTCTTTGAATGTATATTGTTTCATGGTTTTGGCTTTGGGAAAATGTAAATGTTTGATATACAAATGTTTAAAAATTCAATTAAAATAAAATAATAGGAAGAGAACAAGCAAAGCAACCCTCCAAAATCAGGAACAAAATGAAGCCAATGAACACAACTTTATGTCAAGTTGGTGATTCTTAAAACAGTGATTTGACTGTACATCCTCTTGTGGGATATATGCTAAGGAGGAGAATGGAAGGAAGCACGGAAGGATGGAAGGACAGGGAGAGAGAGGCACAGCATTCAGCCACAGTATTTTTATTAATAGTATCAACATTGCTAAAACCACTGATAATATATAAAACATACTTTTAAAATACTATACGTGTGTGTGTCTGTATAGTATTGTTAGGAACCAAGATTTTCAGAGGAAGAGAAAAAGAGATACGAATGTAAAATTAAGGAAGTAAAATTTGAATTAAAGTATCATTATTAGGCATTCATGATGTATTTTTTCTTCCAAAAAATTATGTATGCTTTAACTCTATCCAAAGCCCAAAAGCAATGACAACCCAGGAGAATTAGAAATGCCATCATGCAGACTACAGTCTTTAAATACCATTTCCCATTAAAGGGACCCAGCGTTACTTGGAGAAACGTCTGGTTTCAGGTCTGGGATAGGAAACATACCTGATCAGATGGATGTGAATATCTCATTGTGCTAGAAACTAAAGACACTCTCTAAAACTAATGGGATGATGTCTAAAGGACACAGATACTGGATTGGTACAGTTCCCAATGGCCAAAGATGTGATGATTTGAACATCAAAAGGAATCGTGGTGAAAATGGATTGAAACACATCAAGTATATTTAAAATGAGACTTTGACAGAGAAATAATGAGTAGTCACCCCTGGAGGTTGCTAGGGCATCAATTCATTATTCTTAAAATTGGTAAAAAGAAGAAAAACCAAGCATTTATGCCAGGGTAACAAAATAGTTAATAAGGGGAAGTTTTTCTTTCTAAAGGAATTCTCGCTGTTGAAAGCAGAAGGAAAGATGGAAATAGGAAATCACCAGTTTGCAACCCTAATAAAATACTGGGTCTAGGCATTGATTATCAATGGCTGCTACAATCATCAGGTGCACAGTCGATGGGAAACTTTATAATAAGTGGATGAGACTGACAAAGTCTGAGCCCATTGATCAATCTTAACATGATAAGAACAGGACAATAGGTACCAGGGGCCTGCTGACGGGAGCCCTTGGGAAGCCCACAGCTCCACCTCTGAATTACTCTTGCCAAAAATATTAAACTGAGGCTCCTTGAGCTTCCAACCTGTGTGTTTACAGGAAATAGCCAGAGAAACATTTTAAATCACACCAAAAGGATGCCAAATCCAAAATGTGGAAATGTGACAGAACAAACCATCCCATTTCTTCAACAAATAAACAAGGACAAAAAGCATGTGGGAGACGATGCTTATACGTTTAAAAAGACATAAAAGGCACATCAACAAAATATACTGTGCGGCTCTTAATTTGAACAAATTAACTGTAAAAAGACATATTTGAGACAATTAGGGAAGTTTGAGCAGAGTGCATAGTAGATGATATTAAGAAATCATTGAGGGTTTTTTTTAGATGTGATAATGATACTATGGTGATATTCAAGTAAAAGAGGGCTCATCCGTTAGAGGTACAACCTGAAGTATTTACAGATGAAATGGTTTGATGACTGAGATTTGCTGTAGAACACTCCAGCAGGGTAGGAGAAGCAGGGCAGGGGAGTCAGGGAGGGGTGTAGATGAAAGTCATAGGAGAAATGTTACTCTCTACTTTTGTCCCTCCTCATCCCCAACCCCTGCAGGTTAAAATACTTCAGCACCCCTCTGTTCCTTGACTTATGTCCAAGGAGCTTGTCAAAGATTCTCGGCATGGGACATAGCCTGCCCCTTCTCACGGCTCTCTCTCCAGCCCCTTCCATACTCCTTTGTACCATGGCCAGCCTGAATTACTTTTTTTTTTTTTTTTTTTGCTGAGGAAGATTCACCCTGAGCTAACATCTGTGCCAATCTTCCTCTATTTTGTATGTGGGTTGCCACCGCAGCATGGCTGATGAGTGGTGTAGGTCTGCACCTGGGATCCTAACCCACGAACCTGGGCCACCGGAACAGAGAGTGCTGAACTTAACCACTACACCACCGGCCAGTCCTTGAATCACTTTAAGGGATTCCTCGGAGTCCTCAACATTTCCCTCTCTCCTTCACAACCTTGTCCCCACCTTCAGCCCACCGTATTCTTGGGCCACTCTCCCGGGGCCCTCCTCTTCATCTCCTCACTTCTGACTCATCCTTCAGGTTTCAGCTTAGATGCCACTTTCTCCAGGAAGCCTTACCATACACCGATCTCATCCTCATCTGGAACAGGTTATGTGCCCTTATTGTGTCCCCATAGCCCCCTGTGGGTTTCCTTCCTGGATTGTAATGCCTAATTACTTTCCTTTCTCCACTCTCTACACTGAGAACAAGGACATATCTGTCTTGTCCATTGTTGAATCTGATCTATGTCTGGCCCATAATTGGCACTCAGCGACTAGTGGTTAGACAGACAGATGGATAGATGGATGGAGGAATGGAGGGATAGACGGGTGGATGCAAGTAGAAAAAGATTAAGAACAAAAGAGAAGATGGGCAGACAGGTAAATGAAGATCTCTCCTCTCCTGGTTCCCTGATGATCCCGAGCCCAGGTCTCACCTGTCTTGCTCGCTTTCTTCTGGTACCTCTGTTTAAGCAGGTCCATGAGCAGGCCATTCCAGGGGGCACAGAGCACTCCAAAGAACTGAGTGATGGCAAAGGCAGTTGTGTAGATGCTGACTGCAGAGGGCAGAGAAGGGTTGAGAGATAAGAAATTTCCAGGACTGCCTTACAGGAGGGGACCCTCCCACCCTGCCCTGACCGACCATCCTCCCCACAACCCTGCTCACACCTTTCTCTGGAGCACATAGCCCTACTGGGCTTAGCACCCCACACCACTCAAGGTTCCAAGTCCCCAACTGGGATGCACAGATGGGATGCCTCCCAGCCCCGCCACATACCTAGTGCCCTTGGCTAAGGTGGCGAGCAGAGAGTTGAGGGTGCCGATAAAGATGTAATGCCACAATTGCATCATGGACAGCCACATCAGGTGCCAGGCAAAGCGCCGAGAGAAAGCGTAGCCCCAGAAAGAGCGGAGCTCCTTCTGCTGCCCTGGATCTGGGAACTCTGATGGAGAAAGGAGGATCTGGGCATTAATTACGAGGAAAGTGGAGGATGAGGGTGAACAGCAGTGTCGAGGCCTTAATGGAACACTCCGAGGTCCACGTTCACCTGCTATTCTTACCTCCCAGAACTCATCCGGCGTGCTCTCGCAGCTGCCCACAAGTGGCACATGCTCACCTCTACGCCTTGGTCATCCCGGCCCTACCACCTTGAATGACCCTCTCCATGTTCTTCTCATCGACTGAAATCTGGTCTGTCTTTCACAGTTTGATTTCACCGACACTTCCTGCACTAACACTTTCCTGATCTTTCTCAGCCAGGATGGTGAAAAAAAGACAAGGAGAGGAGAAAGTTAGACATGAGATGTGGGTTAGGGGCTGACAGCTGTTGTCTCAGCTGCTCTGCATCCCCTCTCTTTCGGTACCAGGATCCTGGTTTCTTCTGGAAATCTTCCCCTGCCCTTTTCATCCTGGTCCAGATGGGCCTGTGAATTAAGCATTCTGTTCCTCAGCCAGGGTGGCCCAATCCGATCGTTCTCCCTAGAGAGGCAGACTGGCTGTGACTTTCGACTGGGACCCCCAGGCATAATCTGGTCCTGCTCATCCTGGAGCCTGGAGAGTTCATTTTTCTCTTGATTCCGTGAGCTTCCCAGAATCCTGTTCTTGTTTCTACCTCAGCCAGCAGTGGTTTGTGATGTTTGTAACCAAAGACCCAAGAGATGAGGAGGCAACAGAGGCGGTGATGGAAATGGAACAGTGAGAGGGCAGACCCAGGAGACCTGCAGAAATGGGGACAAATAAGGCAGACTTAGGACTGAAGAGTCGGGGGACAGGAAGGAAAATGATGGAAGATGGAATTCAGGGGGTACTGTGATAATGACATGAGAGAAAGAAGAGAGGGACAGAAAGGAGAAAAGAAACAAAAGTCTTGCCCCTGTCTGGACCCTCTATAAAGTGAGGGGGTCGAGAAGACCCCACAGGTCCTTTCTCCACCTGAGCTTTCCTGATTGAGTCTCTAGGGATGCTCTGGAGGTGAGGGACTAGGTCGACCTCCACGAAGACCAGGTTCTGAAGGGAACTGGGTTCACCAGCAGGGCTCACCTTCCTTTGGTGAAACGAACTCCGACTGTCCCTCCAGCTCTTTGGACTCCACTGTCTTCTGCTCCTCCTCCCTGCTGTCCCTCCCAGAGCACAGGCTGTGGAAACAGAAGTCCCCTCAGCCCAGCCCAAGGGCTGTGAGCTGAGCCTGAGTCTCATGCTGAAGGGAATAGTGCAGGGGATCCCCCGTTTCACAGCACAGTGAAATCACCTCTTAACAACCCCGAAGCCCAAGTCACAGCCAGACCAGTTAAATCAGAGTGTCTGGGAGTGGCAGCCAGGTTTCCAGACTTTTTGAACATCTCCGAGTGAGCCTGTGATTCTGATACCCAGCAAAGTTTGGGAACTACTGGAGGCGTGGGCAGAGTAGGAGAGGCTGAGTTCACATCCCAGCTCTTGTTCTTGCTGGCTGTGGCAATACAGCTCAGACATAACACTTCCGACCCCAGTTTTTAACATTTGGAAAATGGAGATAAGGCTATCTATCTGAGAGGATCATGGTGAGATGAAATCAGAGAGCACTTGGGATCTGGCAGATAGTAAGTCAGCAGCAAATGAAAGCTCTCCCTCTACTGCTTGTGGGGAAGAGCTGCAAAAAGGGTCACATTTCTTCACTTCCTCTGTTCTCCACTCTTTGCGATGGAATTTTGCAGCTCTGACTATTTCCCCATCCCCTGCATCTGCACCAGGCCTTGTGAGCTGCCTCAGCCAAGAGAATGCAGCAGAAATGATGCTGTGCCGATTAAAGCCCGGAACTTTAAGAAAGCTTGTGCATTTCTGCACTCTCTCTCTTGGAACCCTGGAAGCACCACATGGACAAGCCCAAGCCAGCCTGCCAGAGGATGAGAGCCAGGTGTCCCAGACATCCCTGTTACCCCCAATGACCTCCAGAAAAAAACTCGTGTGAGTGAGGTCATCCTAGACAAGCCAGCCCAGAGCTTGCCCACTAGATGATCAGAGGCAAGAATGAGCCCTGTCAAGATCATCCGAGTCTGTCCCTGATCAGTAGAATTTGTCAGCTCCCCACAGACCCAGGAAAAAAATAAATGCTTAAGGTTTCAGGCCACTGAGTTCTGGGGTAGTTTGTTATGCAGCAATTGCCAACTGACACACCCATTCTGGTCTTCCTCTCCTGTGACAGGTTTCCTCTGCCCTACTGTGACCACGACTCTCCCATCCCCTGCTTCCTATCCCAGGTCACATGGGGGGCTCTGGCCCACAATCGCTAGATCATAGTCCTTACCCATAGCGGTCGTTGGGGGGCAGCAGGTAGGGGATGTGCCCCCGGGACTGCAGGAGGAAAGTGTGCCCAACATGCCAGACACTGAAGACAGAGAAGAAGAGGAAGGAGGCCCTGAGGGTGATGCCCTGTTCATAAAGGAGCTGCAGACAAAGGAGGGAAAAAAGTCAGTGTGTGGGCCAGGCCTGTGGCATGGTGCTTAAGTTCACATGCTCTGCTTTGGCAGCCTGGGGTTCGTGGGTTCAGATCCCAGGCGTAGACCTGCACACTGCCCATGAAGCCATGTTGTTGTGGCGTCCCACATACAAAATAGAGGAAGACTGGCATAGATGGTAGCTCAGGGACACTCTTCCCTAAGCAAAAAGTGGAAGATGGCAACAGATGTTAGCTCAGGGCCAATCTTCCTCACCAAAAATAAAAAAGGTAAGGAAATTCTGACACATGCTATCACATGGATGAACCTTGAGGACATCATGCTAAGTGAAATAAGCCAGTTATAGAAGGATAACTACTACATGATTCCATTTGGATGAGGTCCCTAGAGTAGCCAAATTCACAGAAACAGAAAGTAGAAGGGTGGTTGCCAGGAGCTGGGTGGGGTGGGATACTGGAGAGTTAGTGTTTAATGGGGACAGAATTTCAGTTACACAAGATTGAAAAGACTTCAATCTGGAGATGGATGGTGGTGTTGCTTGCCTAACAATATGATGAACTTAATGCCGCTGAACCATACACTTAAAAGTGGTTAAGATGGTAAATTTTATTCTATAGATTTTACCACACCCAAGAAAAGTCCAGGTAAGAAGCAGGAGCTGGAACCCCAGTTTCTAAGAATGAGTCTTGGTACAGGCTGTTGCCTTCCACCCTGGAAGCTAATTAATTACACCTCGTACACACATAGCCTCCCTGTCACCCCAGGGCCCAACCAGCAGCAGAGGAGGCAGCGTATTATCCATCCCCACAGCCTTATAGAGCCTCCTAGTGAAGTGAAGCTTCTCAGACATCTTGCAGCATGGTGCTTTTTTTTTTTAATGGCAGCAAAGTCCTTTTGTTCAAACAAAATTTTACAGAGAAATTCAACTTATGAAACACATGAGTGGGAGTGGCCCGGTCATCCTCCCCTTATTCTCCTTGGTGACCAACATAACATCAAAGGGAACCCCTTGGTGTTCCTTGACACCCAGTTTGAAAACCGTTGATCTAGCCCAACCACCTCACTTTACAGAGGGTGAAACTGAGGTCCAGAGAGGCACAAGGAATTGCTCAAGGTCAGAGTGAGCAGCAGCAAGGTCAGATTAAACGAAGATCTCCAGCTCCTGCTCTGGCACGCTCTCTCTCCTTCCAACTCCAAAGAGGGAAGAGAGAAAGGGAAGCACATCCAGGGGAAGGAGGAAGAACCTGGAAATTGGTTCTTGTACGAGTGGTAGAAAGGCTTGAGTAGGTGCCCCAAGGCTCAGCCTGTGGGCGACCCTCCAAGCCCAGGTGCTCACAGTACCAAGCTAGTTTCATATCTGGATAGCAACTCCCAGAGATCCTCTTCTCTTGCCCCTGGCCCACAGGCTGTGCCAGCTGCCTCTGGCCTAACACAAAGCCCAGAGGGAAGTCCCAATGTGGTTGGCTTGGGGTGTCAAGGACTCATATTCTTTATTCCTTTCACTCATTCATCCTTAGTTTGCTAGCTTTTGTCCTCCAGCTTGTTGCCTCATAATCACAGAATGGCTGTCACACATCCAGCTATATTCAAACATTCAAACAGTTGCCACAACATTCAAAGGAGAATGGTGGAAAGGGGGACCAGGGAGGAAGGCTTTCTTTTGGCTCTGCTTTCATCTTCCAACAAGGAGAGAAATATCCCTAAAGTCCTCGTGAATACAACCCCTTCACCTCACTAACAAGGACTGGAGAATATGCCCACCTCTACTCTCATTAGCAAGGAGGAAAGGGACTGCGTCAGTTGGCTGAGATCAATCAGGATTCATCCCCTGGGCTGGGCACACCACTGCCCAGATGAAATGTTAGCAATAAAGAAGGGAGAATGGCTGTTAGGTGGGCTACTAATAGCACTGGCAACAGCCCATCCTCTGATCACTAACATCGGCCTTCAGGAGAGCTGGAGAGGACTCTGTGTCTGCCCCTGCTGCCCCGACAAGCCACCCCCCACCTCCCTGTCCAACCCAGAAGCTCACAGGCACAAACACCCCGTTGCAAAGGGCCCCAAGCCTCTGCCCAACACTGGCCCAGGCACATCATAGCCATGCCTTCCCTTAGCCTCTGTGCAAAAATCCTACAGGACTGTGAAGAAGGAGTTTAATGGTTACAAGCTCAGCCTCTAGAACCAGGCAGGCCTGGGCTCCAGTTCAAGTGTCATGTTTTCTAGCTGCAGAAGCGTTGATGGAAAGAAATCATGCAAAGTTCACAAGACAAGTGTTGGCATATATTAATGCTCAATAAAAGTTGGTTATTACTATTTTTTATGTTTTTGTTTTTTTTTTTAAGATTGGTACCTGGACTAACATGTGTTGCCAATCTTATTTTTTTCTTCTTGTTCTTCTTCTACTTCTTCTTCTCCCCAAAGCCCCCAGTACATAGCTGTATATTCTAGTTGTGAGTGCTTCTGGTTGTGCTATGTGGGACACTGCCTCATGGCCTGATGAGCGGTGCCATGGCCACTTTCAGGATCCAAACCAGCGAAACTCCGGGTCGCCCAAGTAGAGCATGCAAACTTAACCACTCGGCCAATGGGCTGGCCCTGCTATCTTTTACCTGAATGACAAAGAAGACTGCCGAGGAAGAGTCAAACGCTCCATTGTAGAGAGTGATGATGGTTGAGCGGTGTTGGCCAAACAGGTTTCACACCTGGAGAGCACGTGACCAACCTGAATCACTTATTTGTTCATGAAATAAATATTTCCTATGCACCCACCATATGCCAGGCCTTCATGATACCCAGACTCACCCTCCACCCCAGGAGCTACCACCCTGGCCTGGGTCCACCCCATTTGAGGCAGTCAATGTAGAAAAGTGCTTCTCCCTCATTCCACCCTCCCCGACCTCCTGCCAGGTACCTGGGATGAGGGCAGGCTCACACCTGCAGGTTGGTGATCAGAAACAGGATTCCCCCAACGGTGAGCATGGGCATGGCCAGGAAGAGCAGTAGGGCTGATTCTGGAACAATCAAAAACAGAGGTGGGGCAGTATCATAGTGCAACCCAAACATGGAACCCCAAACTCTGGCTCCCACTTGCTCCAAATTCCCAACAATCACAGGGTCAGGGCCCTAATTCTAGCATCCTTCGAGGGCCTTAGGGTACTGGTCAAGGCTCCCCCAGACATCCTTGCAGAGTTCTCCTGAGCCACCTTCTTCCCCACCAAAGATGGTCCTTGGTCTGTGGCAGATCTGGATGTCTCCAGATAGACTCGAAGTGAAGTCACTGCTCCCTTCTCTCATTCAACCACAAACAGCCCCTTCTATCCATCCTTGACACTGTGGGGAGAGAAGTCTGGACTCTGCCCCCAAGCCCAGCTTCTTATTCGCTTCATGACTTTGAGCTGGATTCTGAATCTGTGACTCAGTGACCCTATCTGTGAAAAGGGAATAACAGTCCCTGCTCTTCCTGCCTTATGGGGTGTATGAGTGAGAAAATGGGACAGACTCTTTCCTTTGTTCATCAAACTTGAGCACTTCCTTCATGGGGCATTGTGCTTGGCACTGGAAATGAAGGATGGGTTAAGCATACTTCCTACCCTTGAACAGACTGACCTGCAAACAAACTACTATGATAGGTCTGGAAAGTATTGGACGATAACTGAACGAAAGTGCCAGGAGTCTGGAGCCCTTACTAAATTAGTCTTTCCCAAACTACAGACTTCTGCCCACTTTCCTGATTTGGGCCATAACTCATGCCCATCCTATTATTTGCTAAAATGTTTTCTTTACGTTGCCTCCCTTTTACCCAAAAGAAATCTATTCTTTTTAAAGGAAACTTTGTATCACTACTGCAAATGAAAAGCAACTCGTGATGCTTGTCAAGAATAGAAAGGAATTGAAAAAACAAATACAATGAAAGGAAAACAATGTTATTAAATTGTAACTAGATGCAGTTGCCCTCAGAACGTTCCAAGCTTGAAACCTGCTCCTGCCATAGTGTTAAATTCATACCTGCCCCGTGTCAAGAATTTCGTTCATGAAATCAGAGGACTGAAAGAGAAATAAAAAAAAGAATGATTTTCCACCAGACGATTCAGTGCTTAATGCGGCATGGTTGTGCCTCCTAATGTCCTCTGAAGTAACTATTGTTCTATACCTTGAGAAGCACTGTAAAGTGCTCATTTTAGACTATTCACGCCATTTACCATTCAATTTCTGTCTTTATAAAAGGTACCTCTCTCCTAATGCACTCTCCTAAGGTTGGGTGAGATTCCTTTCACAGTTGGGTCATTGTGGCCCCAACACTTTTTCCAAAGACCAAAAGCCCCGTTTTATGGAGGAAGGGACAACTGCTGCTCAAATGATTCACAAGGTGAGTCAAACATACTTAGCCACCACCTCCACATTCAGCCACTTAAAAATCATTTACAGGCTTTTAGATAAGATAAAGTTGGTTTGATGAGGAGAGTGGTTTTAAATAACTGGCTTGAGGTGCCAGGCTATCTCACGAGATCAAAGACACTCAGCCCGTGTTTACGGAGCACAAATGGAGATGACCTCATGATGCCATACGGCTTCAGCAAAGGACTACACACACCAGAGTTATGTACTTTTACTTCCTATCCCCAAAACTGAGCCACGTGACCTGACACTGGGGAGAAATATTAGAAGGCATCTCTTGGCCCGCATAACCAAGATGCTAAGAGAGGGCACAGCTGGGGACTCCAGGCCCACTTCCCACTAACTTGCTCTGTGGCCTTGGGCAATTCTTTGCAAGGGGTCTCTCTCTAGCTCAGTTTTCTCCTCTGCATACTGGGGGAAAGCAGGAATAAACCAGATTGGAATTGCTAGACTTTGGGAATTTTATACATTTACAGACCAGTAAAATTTGAAAAGAAAACTTTTGACTACCTAGGATCATCAACTTTTACCCTGCTAAAGTAAGGATATTTTCAAAAGCAACTGTCATTCATATTATCATTTCGTTGAAATAAGAGAGAGAGAAAATGTTAATACATACAACAGGAAAGATGTAATCTTTGGACCAAATTCTTCTCTCTGAGGCAATCCCTCCATTGTGCTTATTTTTTGCATTTCTTACTAGGTGAAACTGTTTTCATAACCAGTAATAATTCTCTCAAGGATTCTTTCAAGCTCAAAGTCTGTGGCTCTCTGATAACCGTGGGGAGTCAGTGTGTCCTGCTCATCACCTTCGCAACTGTCCCACCCAGCAGGTGCCCCTGAGCTTGTGTCCCTCCTACCCCCCGACAGCACTCACCTGCAGAGGTGAAGGCTATGGTGAGCGTGGCAGTGGTGTAGAGAAATCTGAAACACAGAATGGGGGATGGAGGATGTTGTCAAGAAAAAGGAAACCTGGGGTACAAAACCGAGAATTCTACTCACCCAATCTCCAAATTTGGCAGTAGAGCGCATTCTCAGCCTGGGGGTTCAATGGGCACTGGTGCCTCTGGAGTCCCAGGCTCAGAACCAGGTGCCAGAAGCCCCGATGTGATTGATATGGGGCCCTGGGCTATGAACTCAGCTAAGGATGCAATGAGTTCAGGAGAAGGTTATCCGGCTTGGCCAGAGACAAAGTGGGTGGAGCCAAGGCCCTCCCACCTGGGAGTCCCAACAGGCCAATCTTTTGGAGAAAGGGGTTAGTGCCTGGTCTACAAATCAAAACCTTCAGTCTTAATTCCTACTCACTGTGTGACCTTGGTCAAGACACTGCCCTTCTCTGGGCCTCAGTGGCCTTTTCTATAAAAGGAAATGATGGGACTGACCTAGAACCCAAGTGTAAAGTTCCAGGGTTCTGTGATTATAGAACCACAACCCAAAGGTTATGGGGATCTTCTAGCAGTTTGGGGGTCTTATAAGACATGGGATAATAAAAGTAGTGCCTGTGTGATATAGTGATTTGTAATAAGAAATATCTATTTGGTCCTTGTCCCTAGTCCCTATCACAGGACTTCTAAAATCCTTCAAATTCCTCAGTGATAAGAGCACTAGGAGCATCTTTTGTTCTAATGAGGCGACTCTGGGTGGGCTCCTGGAACAGGCTGGTCACCAGAAAGACCAAGCCATAATTAGAAGATTGAAATTCTCAGCCCCACTCCCCACTTCTCTAGAGAGGAGAGAGGGGCTGGAAATGGAGTTAGTAATTAATCATGCCTACTTGAGGAAGCCTCCACAAAACCCCAATAGTAGAGGGTTCAGAGAGCTTCTGGGTTGGTGAACACATCCACATACTAGGAGGGTGACACACCGCAACTTCCCAGGGACAGAAGCTCCGGGGCTCAGGACCCTCCCAGACCTCGCCTACATATTTCTTCATCTGTATCCTTTATCACATCCTTTAATAAACTGGTAAACATAAGTAAGTTTTCCCCCGAGTTCTGTGAGCTGGTCTAGCAAATAATCGAACCCAAGGGGGAGGAGGTCATGGGAACCTCCACTGTGTAGCCAAGTCAGACAGAAGTCGTGGGCAACCAGGGGACACACCACTTGCGACTGGTGTCTGAAGTGGGGGCAGTCTCGTGGGACTGAGCCCTTACCTGTGGGATCTGACTCTATCTCCAGGAAGATGAGGTCAGAATTGAGTTAAATTGTAGGTCACCCAGCTGTAGTCACAGGACGGCTTGGTGTGGGAACACCCCCCCACACACACATTTGGGTGTGAAGTATCATGTGTAAAAGTAAAGGAGAAACACAGGAAGGAAGACTGAGTTTTCTTAACACATGCAGGCTGGCGAAGAGGGAGGAGAGAGAAGAGGAGGAGAGGAAAGAGGAGGAGAGGGAGTCAAACACCAAGAGAGACGAGATATAGTCATTATGTGCCAAGCACTTAAAGACCAAGGGACCTGGCTATTTCCTGGCCCAGCCGGCCCTCCAGTCCCTCTGACAACTAATCTCTCACAAGCATGCCAGGGGTTTCTTGCTTTGGATTCTATCAGCTCCCAGCAGGGCACTGCTTATCACTCACCCAGGCCACTTGGAGTGGCACCCTGGGTGAGCGAGAGCAAGTCCCTTGGCCTCTTTGACTCATCTGCATGGGAAACCCCATTGCCTTCCCTCCAGCCTCAGGGGACCTGATATCCCACCACTGCAGGTCCCAGAAGACCTCATTGGCTAAGTCTCTGGGGAGTGACGGGGGTGAGGAAGATGACAATTAAGTCTGAGCAACCTGGCCATGAGGCCTTGTAGGAGCTATAGATAACGGTCCCCAGGATGAAGTGAGAGTGACATTTTTAGGTTTTGCTAATTTCATAACCCCGGGCCCCAGGCCAGCCCTCACAGAAAGCCTGTCACATAGAACACAGATTCACACCTAACAGAGGAAGGAGGCAAGGAAAGGGAAGTAGGGATGTGGGAAGAGAGCAGGTCTAGCCAACTTCACACTCTGGGCTGTTTCTCACACAGTTGCTGAGGCAGTGCCTGGCAGGGCTGCCCAGTTGCCTGGCCCGAGACTCCCTCCAAGAGAGGCTGCTGCCAGGAGAATTCCTCTTGCTCATCTCCACCAAGACTAGGCCTTTGGACTTACATGGCTATGAGGTGGGCTATGGTGGTCTTGAAACGGTCAAAGTTGTAGCCGATGGGAAACGTCATGAAGTTGTTCATGAAGGACACCAGGGTGAAGATGAGTGAGAACTTCTCATCCTGGGCTTTGCAGTCTGGAGGCCGGATAGGGGGATCTCAGAAGCAAGAGTGGGTGGGCCAATCTCCCATCCATGCCAGCCTTCCTGCCAGGTGGGCTCCCAACCTGGCTCCCCTCCAGAGCAGCCTCTCCCGTCTTGGACAGCTGGCTGGTGGAAAGTTCTCCATTCAGTGAGCTGAAATGTGGCTGCCTCTATTTACCCCTCAGGAGCTAGTACTTCCTTCTCCAGGCACCTCCTAGACTGAGGTTGAGGGGTAGGGGACAGGGGAAGCTGACACCCCCTTTCTCTCAATGCAGAAATGTTGGCAGGGTGGGCAGGGGATGGAGTCCTTCCTACCCCTTCCCACCAAGTGAGAACCAGCCTCAGCCTCCTAGAGAAGTCATCACTCCCTTACCAGTCTGTCCCGTGGCAATGCCCACCAGCGTGGTATTTCCCATCAGCCTGGCATTTGGTTCACACAGCTCCTCAAAGTAATGCTCTGTCTTGAAGACAAACACCAGCGACACCCAGCCGAAGAGGATGCCTACAAAGCCAAGACATTCCAGCAGCCCCAACACTTCAGTGGAAATGAAGTTTGAAGATCCAGAAGGTCTCTCCCTTGGAGGGTCCACATCTTCCTAGCACCACATCCATAAGCCTCATACCTCCCATGCCTTATCATCTTTTATCCCTACTTCTACGTCGCTTAGGTTCCACATGGACACACAGCTGCCACCAGAGGCCAGGGGCTGGCTGAGAGCCCAGTACCAAATCTTCCAGGCGCTGCCATCAACCCAGAACAAGCGCTGGCAGCTGCCCTAGAGGAGAGAGGAAGGGAGAAAGTGGGCTGGAGTATGAGGCAAAGGGAAAGCAGGAGGTAGAGCTGGAACTGTCCCTGTCTGATCCTCCTGCTGCCTGCTGGGCATTTGCCTTCTCTGTTGGACCATCATGGAAACAGTCCTCGTCAACCAAAATGTTGATCCACAGTGATCAACACCATCACATTCTATGCATCCTCGTGACACACTCATCCTTCTGGCCCTGACAAGAGGTGGGACAGGTGTTTCAACCCCATTCTAGAAATGAGGACCCAGGCTCATAGTCCTGCCCAAGTCACACAGACAGTCAGAAGCTGAGCAGAACTTGAACCCACACCTACTCATCTAAAGCCTTGGCCCTTCCCGATGCCTAGGCTGCCACCTTGCTATCATGCCCAGGTGTCCAACTCTCCAAAATTCTTCAGGGGATCAGAGAGCAGAAGCACAAAGAAATCTGCAGCAAGTTGAGCACTGGCTTGGGTCAGAAGGGGCTCCCCATTTAGATCTGGGACCCCTCTTACTCAGCCTGTGCTCATGCCTCAAATCCAGACTTGATCCTGGCTGACACTTCTGGCTGAGCACTGGATGTAGTAGGTAAAGATGAGGTTATGGATGGAGAGGAGTTTGCCCCTGTAGCACCTCTGAGAAGTATACTGCAAGGCAGGATAAAAGAGGAAAAATTGGGTGCCCCTCCTGAGGAATACACGTGATGTTAGCCCTGGACCTTGAAGTCTCCACAATTCATTCCCCCACTTGCCAAAACAATCACACAGCCATTTGAAGACTGGAGATCAAAATGTAACTTCTGTTTCCACTTGACCCTCACTTCTTACCCTCTCTTACCCACCTCTAATACTTCTGCGAGCCTCAGACCCTCCTGACACCCCCAGGGTCCTCTGTGAGGAGAAGAAACAGTGACTCAGAGGCCAGAAACATCCCCTCCATGCCCTCCTCCCCACCCCTGGACTCAGCCTCAGCCACAGCCCACTCACCTGAGCTTGACTAAACATCATGGCTCTCGCCACCACAACAAAGCGGCAGGTCTTGCATCCAGGGATGCCCACCTGTTTGACTGTATCCTCTTCCTTAGGGCACTGAAAGTCCTTGTCCACCTCTTCTAGGGCTGAGACTGATTTGACAGCCCCCTCTTCCTCAGGGGCATCTTCACCTCCAGAGCCTCGCTCCTCCTCTTCCTCCAGCAAGGTCAGTCCCTCCATAGGAGCCTCCATTGTCCCGTGTTCTGGCATCTACCCATCCTAAGGCAGGATCTCACCTCCAAAGGGGCTCTCAAAGTTGGACGTTTCAGTCCCTGGCAGAGAGAAAGTCCAACTGCACCCCCTCACATCTTTTCCTGTTCCTCTCCAGAACCATGGACAGTTCCCTCCTTGCCCTAGCCATCAGAATGCTCAGCCTTGGAAAGAGAGAAACCTAGAACCAAGCCTCCGTGAGGATAACCTAGCCTCCCACATGAGGTCATAGGTTGAAGAGCAAGGACTTAGCATTAGGTCATTGTGGGTTTTGGTACTGATTCCATCATCTACTAGCTTTACTTCATTTGCAATATGCGGATACAATACTGCATTCTTCATGGGGATGCTATGAGGATTAAAGGAGATAATGCATAGAAAATGCTTAGCACAGTACACTAGGTGAGCTCAAAGTAAAAGAAAGTCATTATGGTGATCATAATGGGCATTATCTATAAAGGACAAAATTGAGAATGTCATAGTATAAATGAGGCTGCAGATGTACAGATGCCCCGAGGAGTCCCTCTAACTCCAGGTTCTACAGTCTCTGTCCCTTTTAATGCAGACATCTTGCATTAGAGATGGCCAGCAAAAGAGGTGGCTTTGTGACTCTGACCATATATACTTAGAAAGGAGCACAGGAGAGAAAGAAAGACTGAAGACTAAGGAAACTTATCCAGATGAAGAGCTGAAACTGTCCCAAATAGAACAGCCAGAAATAGGGAGAGATTCATCTTGGCTTTTTCCTGCAATGGGTAACATAGTTTGTCAAACACACACATACACATACACACACACACACACACCCCACAGCCACACCATTAGGGGACATTGGGAGTGAGGTAAAGAAACAGCAGGCATGAACAGAAGCCAGGATGGGCCAGAAAAGCTAATGCTGAGCCCAGCCTTTGATTCTCCAGGATGCTAGCACTTCTATCTGAATAGAATGAAGCAGACCATGAGGGGCAGACAAGGTTGGCTTTCCTGTGGACCTGAATGTGAAGAGGGGAATATTATTTTTATGTTTCATACTTAATAAGCCCCTCACAGTCTATGAAACAAAGAGAATCAAGAAACAATGATTATTGACCTTCCTAGGCCACACAGCACTTAGAAAGTGACTTCCCTTCTCAAAGCTCGAAAAGCCACATGTGCATCTCTGGTTTCCCAGACAAGGAGAGCTCTCACATACCTCAGAAGGAATGTGACAGGCAGAGGATGAGAATTCCTGTCCCTGCTGACACACTTGAAACATGACAGCCACACACAATCCCAGCCAGCCCTCCAGAACCTCCCGACCCAGGCCAGATGTGTCCCACGAGATGAACATTTACTTGGAATAAGTTCCACTACACCAGAAAGCACTTACCTGCCCAGAAGTCTTCCTGGGTCCTGAGGAATTCCCAAATCCCAGATCTTCCTTCTCTCCATCCCACAGTGACATTTTATGTAGGGACTTTGGAGGAAGTTCCCCAGAGGAAGGAAGGTTTGCCACAGATTGAGGGAGGTGGGAGGGCTGATAAGAACCCTTCGTTTCTTCACTTCTTTGCGGAGACCACTCATTACCCTCCGGCTTCTCTCCTGTCACCCTTTTCAGGAACCTGGGGGGCCATTTTGAGATGTCTCAGAGCCAGTGGTTCCTATCCTGTACTGCATTTCAGACTCTCCTTGGAAGCTTTCCAAAATGCATGGTTCTCCTGCTTTATTGGTGGGAATGTGAATTGTCACAGACGTTTTAACCCTGAAGTATGTTTCATTAGCTTCACAGTAAATGTGCCTCCAGGAAAGTTGGAGTGTGGGCATGATCATGAGGACTTAGCAGAAATGAACTTAACTGTAGATGAGGGCTGGCCCCTCGAAGGAAGGTGCAGAGAAAAGGGGTGTGGGCAGCTTTGGGAGTAGTTTGGGACAATCAAGCAGTGGGCACTTGCAAAGGCCCAACACCAATGATCCCCCACTGCAGGGAGAGAAGGGGTATGATTCCCACACATAAGGCACATCTCAGCAGACACATCAATGAAGACAGCAGTGCATTCTCCAACCAGAAGACCCACAGGCATTCCCGGTGAATCCAGCTCTCAGGAGCCTGGGCTGGGGCTGAGGACGTTCTCTGAGGGGGAGATGGAGGCAGCAGTGTCCTGGAGGGGCCCTCTCCCCCAGCCCTCCCCTTCTCCACACTGGGCTGGTCCTCCTGCGGGTGCATCAGCCCCTCCTGTCCTGAACCCGTGGGTGTGAGCCTGACACTGTCCTCCCACAGCTGAACTAAGTTAGCACTTCTGTGTGCTAGACTTCGGGTTGACATCAGTACTAATAAAATAGCTAACTTGTCTCTCCTGCATCCTGGTGTCCTCAGCACAGTCACCAACATAATCACATGGACCCGCACACCAACACTGCTGAGCTTGCTGTGATTTGTTATTAATCCTATTTCATAGAAGAAGAAATGTGCAATACATGGAAATTCAAACTGGAACCCATGCTCATTCCTACCACTACACTGCTTCCTTAATGACTCTGCATGAAGGACCACAGTTAGTGACAACTCACCATTGCGAAGCAGAGGGTTATATGCGTTACAGATGTTGTCTAATTCAACTTTTATTTTATTGAAAAAGAAACTGAGACTTAGTAAGGCTAAGAAAAATGAAATGTAGAACTTGGATTCGAACCCAGAGCTTTGTGACTCTGGTGGCTGGGATCCTGACTTCTGTGCTATGTCTGTCCGGGAAAAATTAGGACATTCCTTGGCTCCTTCTTTTCTATATGTGTTGCGTTAAATCAGGTTCTGCTGCAGTAACAAGTAGGCTGTGAAATCTCAAGGTTTCCTACACACAGCAGGTCAGACAGCCCCTTCCATCGGGTAGCTATGCCTTCAGGGACACGGGGACCCCCAGATCCCTGTGGCAAGGACAGTGAGAACGGGAAGATCATAGGGGGTCATTTAAAGGCCAGGCCTGGAAGAGACTTACATCATTTCCTCCCACATTGCATTGGCCACACCCAGTAGCATGCTGCAGAGCCCAACTTATGCAAGGAATAAAAGGAAACACAGTTTACCTCGGTCTCCAGCAAGAAAAAATGGTGAACATTGCACTCTCTGCTTCCTTATCTCCTTTTCAATGGCTTCTCTTCTCCACAACCGCCCTCTCCCCATGCCCACGGACAGTGACACACATCCTTGCCTTCTGTGTTCCTTCTCACAAAACCTCGTTCTCGGCAAGTTACCAATCAACCTCCCAGACGCATTAAGAGATAAGACCCTTGGAGTTTCTTCTCCTAAGAGTATTTGCTTTTTAATCAAAGGCTATTCAAGACTGCAAGGCCTTAAACAACCAAAGGAATGAATACATAATGGTTGAAGTTGAGCCCAATAACACACAGTGCTGGATATTTGAGGGACACCTTATCTACCCTTGCCTGCCTCAAGCAAGCTTCAATCTGGAGAGGTCTAAGCCCCCTCCTCTCCCTGCCCTCCCTCTACCTCCAGTCCTGGCGGGCAGGATATTGGGTGACTGGGATTGGCTAGAACCAAGTCACCAACAAGTAGTTAAGTGGGGGCTTGCCATTCAGCCAAAATACCAGTCCCAGAGCTCCCTATGTAGAGCTTCCTTTACTGCCTATCACTCCCACCCCTGAAGGCCAGCTTCTACTGTTCTTTCAGAAGCAGAGTGTCAAGAAATAGCCTGTTGCAGGGTCGGCCCTGTTGCTCAATGGTTAAACTTCCACATACTCTGCTTCGGTGGCCTATGGTTTGCAGGTTAGGATCCCAGGTGTAGACCTACTCCACTTATGGCCCATGCTGTGGAGGCATCCCACATACAAAGGGGAGGAAGATTAGCATAGATGTGAGCTCAGGGTGAATCTTCTTCACACACACATGAAAAAGAATTCGCTTGTTGCAGTATGCAATGCAGGGACCTGGGTGGGGGCCTGACCCTCAGGCAGCCCCCGTTCCAAGCCCTTGGGGGGACTGACATGCTGTGATTAGCAGCTTCCTGACACAAACTGCAACCAAGGCTGAGGGACACACCCCTCTGTGGAGGACAGGCCTCTTCACCAGAAGCAGTCCCTGAGGTCCAGCATTGGTGAGATCCATGGCAAGCCCAAGACCCGTGGTCCTGTTGTCAGAGGCCCGCTCATATTCAGGGAACTCAGCCCTGCTGCTTCTTCGCCACCCGCTTCCCCTGGGGTTCGCCGCCCTGTCCTGTTCCACCACCTCCAGAAGCTTTATAAGAAAGCGCATCTGGGAGACTGTTCTTTTAGTTCCTGAAACTCCACATCCCATCAAATGCCTCGACAGGCACACACGTGTTCACACACAAACGTAGACCTGTACACAGGTGTGCTCAGACACACACTAACATGTATACACACCCCAAAACATACTGGCCAAAGACACACAAGTACACACATGCATGCACACACAGATTCAGGCATCTTACAGTCCAGAGCTTCATAGGTGTCCACAGACACACAAGCCTATCCATTAACACACAGAGATGCACAAAATTTACACCCTCAAACAACATACAAATACACACTGACTCAAAGATTTACGCACATTTACATATACAGATTCACACATACAGAGATACACACAGGTATACAAAGAGTGACTCGCTTACACACCCAAATACATATACACATACGTGCACGTGCATCTGCAGAAATATTTGTACCTTCTCCCTGTGCCCCATGTAGAATGACACCCAAAGAAGTATTTCTGTCTCAGAGCGCCCCCCTCTTTCTCTCCCCACAACCCAAGGCTGTCTGCCCTCTTAATATCCAGTCTCAGGTCTGAACTTCTGCTTCATCAACGCCAGATCCTACCGGGAGCCAAGCCTCCTGCCGCAAATAAGGTAAAGAGCAGAAACAGTGCTCTCTGTCAATGTCCCCTGGGTCTGAGAACACGGGGTGAGGGAGAGAAGCTGAGGCCTGGGGCTGTAGACACAGCTTGGGAACCACAGGCTACCAGATACCCT